CTTTTTCCAGTTCTCCCGCGCGTGGCACCCCGGTGCACCTTGCCGTCGTCTTCCCTCGACAGCATGGTGGGCGCCTCGCCAGTCTCCGGCGCCATGGCTTCGCGCGCGCGCGGTTTGGTCGTCTCGCGAAACTGCGCCTCCTGGATCGCAGCCACCCACCGCGTCGAGGCCGCGAGTTCGAGGCCCTTGCTCTCTCGCCGCGAGCGGTACCCGCGGTAGCTGCGCTGGATGACCTTGGCAGCTCTTCTGGAACGGAAGGCCTCGATGCTTTTCCGCCTGGGCTGGCTGCGCAGGCTCGACTGCTCGCTCGTGGGGCGGGGCATGGTGTCTGGCGATGGGAGCGGCAAGACGGATTCACGTCGAACTTGACGGGCCCTCTTCCTCGTCTCTGCTTCACGACCGTGCTGCACTTGGGAGATTTTGTTGAACTCTTCGGTGGATGGCGGGATCAAGGAGTCCAGGTAGGCCTTGCGCGAACTGTAAGAGACAGCCGGTGGTTGATTTGTGGTGATACTACTTGTTGTGTCGGGTTTCTTCGTCGCCGCCGTCAACGGTGTAGTCTTGACTGGGACACATGAAGGGCTGGTGGGGGGCGTTGGGTTGCATGGCAGATAGGTAAAGGTCGGCGCACTGCGTGTTGGAGGGGCAGCTTTCTTGATCAGGGTCTCGGTCGGGCCTACCACGAGGGGCGACGATAGTGTGGTGGAGGGATACGTCATTGCTAGATCAATCGTGGACTATCCTGGCAGGGGTCTGCGTCGCGTGTCAGACGGTACTTGCCAGGTGGTATTGGCTGTCGGTATCCAACTGCCGGGGGTGTCTTCGGACAGAAAGAGAAAGCCTACAAGTGCAGCGTTGAACGAAGAGCACCATAGGCAGACGTCCCAAATCTTTCGAGGAAGACGTGGATATAACAAGCAGTGCTCAGGGGCGGGTCGCCGGCCGAATAAGCAGCAACGGGTCGGACAAGACTTTGACAAGACTTTCAATCGTCTTGGACACGGATCCGAGTCACTTACGAGAGGGGACAAGGATGATGCCGCGTCTTCCTAGGGCTGGGCAAAGCTGAAGGACGAAATGCGCCTGGCACTGACACCGTCTGCAACAAGCGCCAAAGCGTAACACCTTAGACCAACAAGGTGAAGCAGAAGGCCGGATCCGTTCGGTCGAGGTAAACAACCCCTTTCTGTTATATCGTGCCTGGCGCTCGACCTGGTTTCTTTGTGGCAGTGTGAAGTACCATGTAAGCGCACGAGCAAAGAATACACCGAGCCCTGCCACCCGGATGAGGTGGCCGAGGTGGGCTGAGTGAAGCTCCCACTCGTCGAGACCCCCCCTCCGAAAATGCCTGGCATTACGCGTCAACCTGCAGGGACGCCCGATGAGTTTTACCTGGCACGACCCCACGGCAACATGACAGGCCAGCGATGGCCATCTTGTTCCCACCACCTTCGTCTTCCGCCCGGTCGCCATAAGCCACTCAACACGTGGG